AATAAATAAAAACTCTAAAAGCAGAACCCAGAAAAAGAAAGGCACGCGCTCAAAACATGGGAAATTTATAGCAACCGGACTTTGTTGTCTAATAGAAATAATCTGATGAATGTTTTCCGGCCAAACACTGCTATTTATTATGGTGATCTTGTTTGTATTTCAGTACCACACAGTGCGTTCTCACAAAAAAAAAACTATGGACCATCTCTTCAAAGAGAACTCTGATGGTATGCGAAGCAGCAGTGGTGCGCACGGTATTTACCCGGTTGAAACTGGTGTCGACGCGGGTGCTGGAATAACGGTTTGAAGCGAAACTTCGTGTAGCGTTTACAAGAGTAAACGTTTGTTTGAAACGCAAAGACATGGGAGGAGGGACACATTGAAGACATTTTCGCTTGGATTCCTCGGCTCGCGCATCGTCGTTGTTACCGGCGCGCCGTCTCTATTCTCTAACGCGATCGGCGTTCTTGACTCGCACCTCATCGGTGTCGTTGGTTTTCCACTGACGACGATTGCGCTTGGCTTCCCTGGCTCGCGCATCGTCGGTGTTCCAGGCGCAACGTTGCCATTCGTGAACGCAATCGGCTTCGCTAACCCGCCACGCCGGCGACGGCCCGTAAAGGTACGCGCCCAAAAGCGGGAAGCGTGCCCCGGCCGGGTCCCGCGCGTCGGCGTGATCGCGCGGCAAGCAGTGGCGCTTTCTCCACATTGCCGGCGCCGCGGGACCACGGCCGGGCTAGACGACGGCGCGCCTGCCCGCGGCTTCTTCTCGCCAACAGATGGAGAGAGGGGGCACGGGTGAGGAGATAATTCTGACGTGAGGAGTGGGCTCGATCATTGCGAGTGGTGGAGAGGGTGAAGTGAGAGTGATGACAAGTGGTGAGCGGCGACAGGCTAGGGAGAGAGTGACGTCACGCGCGCGCACTGCGAGGGCAGGCGTGGCCTATTTGTAACCACCCCGGTGTGGAGGGACAGGGTCACACATGCTAGTCAAAGAGCTGCTTCGCATCTAATAAAGAAAAGGCACAGAAGGCCAGTAATGATTAATGTGGCAACGCACAGAGACCAAGTCATTTTAAATTGGGAAAAGCGAGTAGCGTACGCCACCGCTTCGAATGGAGCGCGTGACGGAATGGAGAAGGAAAGCGCCCCTACCACATAACGCTACGCTTAACGTCAGGCGGCGCGGGCAATTTTCCAGACGGGCGCTTGACGGGCGTACGTTGTGCGAGAAGAGGCGACACATCCAGACCATAGAGCTTTCTAAATATACACTAGAGGGAACTCTGGCGCTAGTGTCAATGGGAGCTGCAACCAATGGCGCTTCAGCAAAGCATGGGAATTGTGCGTAGTACATGAATTTCCTCAGTCTTCGTATTTTACGTTCCTTTTGGCTTCGCTTGGCTTGAAGCTGCTTTGTCACGAAACAACAATCGGCAAATGTTCAGTAGTTACGCATCCCCACCTTAATCTATTCGGCTTACCATTTCAAACCAGCTCACCAAGCTCAAAACGGTTTGTTCTTCCTTTCAAAACAAAACCAAAACACAGCAATGAACGAAACCACAAGTGTGATTCACCACACGGAAGCACGAATAATAATAATAATAATAATAATAATAATAATAATAATAATAATAATAATAATAATAATAATAATAATAATAATAATAATAATAATAATAATAACTTTATTTACACTATTACAGTGTTGATGGAGGGAGTGGGGGAATAAGCAACAGGCTGCTTCACTAAGTTCTCATCTTCCAATCATCAGGCGGAGGTAGTGGTAGTGGCAGAATACATGAAATGATCGCAGTAACTCACATGAACGCACATGTAATGGACACATTTTAAATGGAGGCAGTACATGTTGTATACACTTGATATAAGAAAAGGCATGGATGAGCATGTTTCAAAGACTTTGTGCAATTATGGCAAAAGAAAACACTAAGAGCAGAATATAAAAGAGACACAGAACGTGGCAACACATTGTATATTACACATACGGTGGTAAAGGCTAATTATGTGCTTTAACAGCTAGAATTATAGAAAATTCGCAGTGCTATGTCATTGTAATGTTTTTAATTTTAATGCCTGCAAAATGAAGTTTATTTAATTGTAACGGTAACTGATAAGACACTATTTGCATACAATCATTCGTTCTTGTGTGAGGAAGTACCCTTAGAGGCTGATTACAAAGACCAGGCAAATCCATGTTATGCCCATAATTCCCATGGTCGATCAACGATTGCAGCGCCAGAGTCCCCTCTAGGTAATTTTAAGAAACTATGATCCGGACAAAGCAGACTTGTTATATGAAGTGACCCACCGCATTTACCAGTGCAAGCAAAGGCTTCCCTGTCTGCTGAACGACTTCGGATGTCCTTCACAGCATCTTGGTATCTGTTTGCTGGGAAACTATCAGGGAAAAGGTGATAGCGAGCAAACATCGAACCAGACTGCAAGAGCGCAGTGCCGGTGGTTCTTTCCAATCCCCAAAGCCGGATTATCGAAGTATTTCCCGTTCTTGAGGTGTTTTTTTTCGTGACCCAGTATGGGCCAACTATTTCCTTTGTTTTGGATCAGATTTCCTCCTACGCACGTTTTCTACCCCTACCTTTCTTCAGTCAGTGGTGGTCTTTGTCATTTCTTATTTCGGGCGCGTCTTCATATCTCTATTGCCGGTGGAGACTCGCAATGGAGCCATCTCATAGTTACACCCGTGTTATATGGTCGATATATCTTGGGACATCGTAACGCAACTCAGTTTATCGTTCTTATTCGTATCTTCCTTTCCTCGTTACTTTCCCTTTTTTTTTCTTGTAGCCTTCTCCGGCTTTGGACGGTAGTAAATATTAGGGCAAATAAAAGAATGCCGAGTAACGAAAGACAATCCACGTTCCTAGCGACTGCAGCATCCGGCGAGCCTCAAGGGCCTTCCACACAGTGGTTGCAGAATGCGATTTCGGAAGGAATTTAGCTTCCGCGGGGTGAGCGGGCTCGGGAAGCTGCACACAGGGCCAGCATGGGAAAACCCATTGCTCGATGGTCTACTACATACAGTGGCCACACTGAAGCATCTTCTTCAATATTGAGCTGCTGTAAACTCCCGCGTTAGCGCGACCATAAGCGTCACCGATTCGTTCAGTCATCTGCAGCCTGTCTAATCGTTTTTACCATCGATATTTGAGATGCTGCAAGTTGTGCGTGATGCCTACACCTCAAGGATTACTATTATAAGAGTGTGTTTAAGTAGTTTGCAATGTGTTTGGGTAGTATAGTTTATGTGATGTACCGTGTTTATACATTTAGTTCTATGGTAGGGGGTCTTCACAATGCGCGCAGCGTTCGCACAAACGAGTGACTCATAAATCTGTTCTTCTTCAAAGGTCTAATTCTTACTCCATTAGGCGCCTGCAGGATTTTGGACGTGTCCAGTTCAGCATGATTATTGTGTATGATTTAACTGCTAATCAGGCATATGCAAAGCAATGGGAGTACAGGGGTGGTTTTGCGAACGACAACTTCAAAATATCCGAAACAGGATCTTTGAAATTGACGACGCTGAACGTTGAATCAACCAGTGTTACAGCATCTCACATTCCCGATTTTGCTCAAGCTGACTACAATGTTGTCGATACGGTATCCACTGTGGGCGAAACGGGCTGGTCAGAGTTGAATATTACTGTATACATTTCGCCCGTATATCCACCGGAGTTATATGCTCCCTGACGACGGAAACTCAATGGCCGCGGGGTCGCTGCACGTTACCGGCCACCCACATCGCAGTCATCCTGGCTTTGCAACCAAACAACGGAGACCGAAGGAAGGGCCACAACGTCGTCACGTAGCGAACATTTTCAGCACAGAAGAAGGCACCGATGCTGGGGAGCAGGACGCGTCATACGCCATTCTGGCCCGACCGATAAGGCCGTTCCCATTCGGCGAGCGTCGTCACTGCTGATGCGGCCGTGGGTGAAAAGACACTTGATTCTAAGCGGGCGCAAATATACCCGCACGACACACGCTACCTTCGGAGGCTCTTAAGCCGAGGGGTGTCAGCTTTTCTTTTGTGCATGCACTTGTTGTCGTTAAAGGCACCTCCAACGCACCCTTGCTTAAGGTGCAGAGTTTGAAGATCAAAAACAGTCA